CAGACCCACGCCCCAAACAAAATGAAGTCACATCACATTCCTCCCCCCCCCCCCCACCCACTAGACTCAAAATAGCTGTTTCATGTTGTTGTTTTTTTAAACATCAGTTTCTTTCTAAAATATTAACAATGCTTGTCCAAAAGTTGAGCAGTCTATATTAAAATATATTTCTATAACAAATTAAAAAAAATATTTCTGAAATTGAAATAACGGTTATATAATTAAAGCTCTAACTTGACTTTCTTTAAAAAAAAAAAGCCTGACGTAACACAATATAGCCCCCTCTCATTCACCCATAACATATCGTCACAATTCTACGAACTCTTCTCCGAAGTGTTACGTCATTTATTGGAAAACCATTAAGCTTAGTTAGATGTGATGTGAAACTGCTGCAATTGTTGTATACTCAGTAAATATGAAGACCGCATTCATTTTATGATTCATTATAATATCATATTTACATTAGTTCATATATCAATTATGAAAATCCTTACTAGTTTAAAAAGGTTTGACTAAAGAATAACGTATATTTTTAAAGTATCAAGTGACCTTGTACTAAATACATTGATTTTTAGAAACACGTCTATCGTAGCGAAAACGAAAGTAAAAGTCGGGAAAATCCGTTTATATGACTACATTCTTTTTCTTGTAATCCCTTACGTGTTGGGCATAGCTCTGTGCAACACGTAATTTACTTAACATAAAACTGATAACTTAAACTTCCTCTTTCCCATACAAAAGACTACTTCACCAACCCCCCCTACCCCCCCCCCCCTTCACTTCGAAAACTAGTGTATGTTTGTAAAAAAACAATGTTTCAATACAAGCTGTAAAACAGGAACTACGGTGAAGTGTTACAGACAATTAAATATGTGCAGCCTGTACCCCTTTGATTCAAGTAGTGTTCACTACAATTTGTATAACCTTTTCAATTAGAGTGGACAAAATCAGAGCACTTATATTGAGGCCAATCGTAGGTGTTAAAGTATGTGAGTTCAGTAGAAAATAACCAACTGTATCGTTAGTAGCATAAAAATATGGGGAATCACCGCTGGGGGATTTTATATGGGGTAATTTATTTTTAACACAAGACTGGCAAACCAGATAAGGCCACGTCTAGTTCGATAAATTCTCAAGGTTGTATCAAACTCAGTGTAGGTTCATAAAACCTAGCTGGGTGACCAACAAACAGTTCGATAAATTCTCAAGGTTGTATCAAACTCAGTGTAGGTTCATAAAACCTAGCTGGGCGACCAACAAACAGTTCGATAAATTCTCAAGGTTGTATCAAACTCAGTGTAGGTTCATAAAACCTAGCTGGGTGACCAACAAACAGTGTAACTCAAGATTTAAATAAAACTACATCTGCAATCTACAATCCTGCTGTTTTTAAGGTACGTTGATCTAGCATTATACCTTGTACGGTTTAACTAAGCCTTAGAGTTATGAACTATACCATCTATAATTTAGGTTAGACATAGATTTTTAGTTAAACTATATCTTCAGTATATGTTATAGCCTACATTTCAACATAATATATTTAAAGTATTATTATCAATTGAATTATGGTGGCAAACAAACAGAAAACCAAGACCGAATAAATAGATTTTATTAGCCGTTAAATTGAGGTCAACGCGTTTACACACCAGCACACACGCAAATCAGTACAGTAAGCGGCATGGTCGGGTAGTAGGGCGATTGTTCATGTTCGGATAAGGCTACTAATCTGTATACAGAAACCCATCAGGAAAGAAAAATCTAATATCAAACTACTGCGTTGCAAATTGCCCTTGGGTGGAAAAAGGCCGTGTCAGAAAATCCAGAAGGCAAGCAGAGTTTCTTTCAGGCATCTCTTCGGGGGGGGGGGGGGGCTTAGCCCCCCCCCCCCCCACGAAAATTTTTTACCGCCCCCCCCCCGAACGAATTGAAATTTATATAATTTATATAGAGAATATATACTTTTAACAGTGTCCGCCCCCCCCCCCCCGAAGAAAGTTTACCGCCCCCCCCCCGAAAATTTCAAGTGCCCCCCGGAGAAAAAAGTCTGGCAGAAACACTGAAGGCAAGCAGTCTGAAGCGGGAGTCAGTCGGAATATAGTGCACAACATAATACATAGTGTTTTAGGAGGGTTTGTCCAATATAATTAAAACGAAGAAGAGGCACCACATTGTACAATATAATATATATATATATATATATATATATATATATACATATATATATATATACATATATATATATATACATATATATATATATATATATATATATATATATATATATATATATATATATATATACATATATATATACATCCATATATATATATACATATATATATATACATATATATACATATATACATATATATATATATATACACATATATATATATAAATATACAAATATATATATATATATATATATATTTATATATATATATATATATATATATAAAGCTCAATGTAAAAATAAGTCTAAATTTATGAGTAAAAAAATTACTATTGAAAGTGTTGGGAAATAATTTTTATTTTTCAAAGTGATAGTAATAATTGTCGGCATGTTCATTAAACACAATGTAAAAAAAAATAACAAAAATTCTAATTATGTCTGAAAATTATTTAGATTTAGTCCTTTAGCACTTACTTCCCTTTGATAAATTAGGAAAAAACAATTACTTCCCTTTATAAAACATTGCCTTAGTGGAAAAGAATTTACTTTTTATTACTTTCTTTTGGTGTTGGGGAAAAAATAATTACATAATTAGCGGGGATTGATCAAGTGCAAATGTTGTAGGTATTTTACGAATAAGCTTGGAGTATTATAATTGTTCATTTGGTTTGGTTTGGCACCTACGTTCGTTTAAGTGAGTGCAAAAGACTATGAATACGTTGGCGTACTATAGTCGATTATTAAGCTGAAACAGGCGATTCTGCCCCGGGCTAGACTGTGAGCACTTTGCGTTTATGTTCGCGTTAGTGTTTTCTTTGTGTTTAGGTTGGGTTTGTGTTAGTGGTTGCGTTTTGATTTGGTTCGTTTTTGTTCTTTTTTTTTTTCGTTTTTGTTTGTGTTTTTTTCTTTGGGTTTGTGTTTGTATTTGTGTTTGTGGTTGGTTTTGCGTTTGGATTTGGTTTGTTTTCGTTTGCTTTTTCGTTTGTGTTTTTTTCTTTGGGTTTGTGTTTGTGGTTGGTTTTGCGTTTGGATTTGGTTTGTTTTCGTTTGCTTTTTCGTTGTTTTTTCTTTGTGTTCGTATGGTGTTTGTGGTTGTGGTTGGGTTTGTTGTTAGGTTTTTGTTTTCGTTTGCTTTTTTGTTTGTTTTTTCTTTGTGTTTGTATTGGTGTTTGTGATTGTGGTTGGGTTTGTTGTTAGGTTTTTGTTTTTGTTTGTATTTGTGTTAGCGTTATGTTTGCGTTTTGTTATTTTGGTTGGTTGTTGTTTGGGTGGGCAATGCCGGGTTTATGATGATTACTAAACACACAGGTAATGGTCTTTAACAGCAAGGTTTTTCACAGAAGCCAGAGCAGGGCCTGGCCGGGACGGCTAGTATATATATAATTTTATATAAACAACATCATTTTATTCTCCTTAAGCAGTCAATAAAGGTTCGAACTCCCACGCAATCATGTCAGATCTCTTAAGTATCAGCCAACCAGGCGATCAGAACCAGTTAGACCAACAGAACCAGTTAGACCAACAGAACCAGTTAGACCAACAGAACCAGTTAGACCAACAGAACCAGTTAGACCAACAAAACCAGTTAGACCAACAGAACCAGTTAGACCAACAGAACCAGTTAGACCAACAAAACCAGTTAGACCAACAGAACCAGTTAGACCAACAGAACCAGTTAGACCAACAGAACCAGTTAGACCAACGCATAGACCAACAGAACCAGTTAGACCAACAGAACCAGTTAGACCAACAGAACCAGTTAGACCAACAGAACCAGTTAGACCAACAAAACCAGTTAGACCAACAAAACCAGTTAGACCAACAGAACCAGTTAGATCAACAGAACAAGTTAGACCAACAGAACCAGTTAGACCAACAAAACCAGTTAGACCAACAAAACCAGTTAGACCAACAAAACCAATTAGTACAACAGAACCAGTTAGTACAACAGAACCAGTTATACCAACAGAACCAGTTAGACCAACAAATAGACCAACAGAACCAGTTAGACCAACAGAACCAGTTATACCAACACATAGACCAACAGAACCAGTTAGACCAACAGAACCAGTTAGACCAACAGAACCAGTTAGTACAACAGAAACAGTTAGACCAACACATAGACCAACAGAACCAGTTAGACCAACAAAACCAGTTAGACCAACAGAACCAGTTAGACCAACAGAACCAGTTAGACCAACAGAACCAGTTAGACCAACAGAACCAGTTAGTACCACAGAACCAGTTAGACCAACAAATAGACCAACAGAACCAGTTAGACCAACAGAACCAGTTAGTACAACAGAAACAGTTAGACCAACACATAGACCAACAGAACCAGTTAGACCAACAAAACCAGTTAGACCAACAAATAGACCAACAGAACCAGTTAGACCAACAGAACCGGTTAGTACCACAGAACCAGTTAGTACCACAAAACCAGTTAGACCAACAGAACCAGTTAGACCAACAGAACCAGTTAGACCAACAGAACCAGTTAGACCAACAGAACCAGTTAGACCAACAAAACCAGTTAGACCAACAGAACCAGTTAGACCAACAGAACCAGTTAGACCAACAGAACCAGTTAGACCAACAGAACCAGTTAGACCAACAAAACCAGTTAGACCAACACATAGACCAACAGAACCAGTTAGACCAACACATAGACCAACAGAACCAGTTAGACCAACAGAACCAGTTAGACCAACAGAACCAGTTAGACCAACAGAACCAGTTAGACCAACAAAACCAGTTAGACCAACAAAACCAGTTAGACCAACAGAACCAGTTAGACCAACAGAACCAGTTAGACCAACAGAACCAGTTAGACCAACAAAACCAGTTAGACCAGCAAAACCAGTTAGACCAACAAAACCAATTAGTACAACAGAACCAGTTAGTACAACAGAACCAGTTATACCAACAGAACCAGTTAGACCAACAAATAGACCAACAGAACCAGTTAGACCAACAGAACCAGTTAGACCAACACATAGACCAACAGAACCAGTTAGACCAACAGAACCAGTTAGACCAACAGAACCAGTTAGTACAACAGAAACAGTTAGACCAACACATAGACCAACAAAACCAGTTAGACCAACAAAACCAGTTAGACCAACAGAACCAGTTAGACCAACAGAACCAGTTAGACCAACAGAACCAGTTAGACCAACAGAACCAGTTAGTACCACAGAACCAGTTAGACCAACAAATAGACCAACAGAACCAGTTAGACCAACAGAACCAGTTAGTACAACAGAAACAGTTAGACCAACACATAGACCAACAGAACCAGTTAGACCAACAAAACCAGTTAGACCAACAAATAGACCAACAGAACCAGTTAGACCAACAAATAGTCCTACACAACCAGTTAGACCAACAGAACCAGTTAGACCAACAGAACCAGTTAGACCAACAGAACCAGTTAGACCAACAAATAGACCAACAGAACCAGTTAGACCAACAAATAGTCCAACACAACCAGTTAGACCAACAGAACCAGTTAGACCAACAGAACCAGTTAGACCAACAGAACCAGTTAGACCAACAGAACCAGTTAGACCAACAGAACCAGTTAGACCAACAGAACCAGTTAGACCAACAAATAGACCAACAGAACCAGTTAGACCAACAAATAGTCCAACACAACCAGTTAGACCAACAGAACCAGTTAGACCAACAGAACCAGTTAGACCAACAGAACCAGTTAGACCAACAGAACCAGTTAGACCAACAGAACCAGTTAGACCAACAGAACCAGTTAGACCAACAGAACCAGTTAGACCAACAAATAGACCAACAGAACCAGTTAGACCAACAAATAGTCCAACACAACCAGTTAGACCAACAGAACCAGTTAGACCAACAGAACCAGTTAGACCAACAGAACCAGTTAGACCAACAGAACCAGTTAGACCAACAGAACCAGTTAGTACCACATAACCAGTTAGTACAACAGAACCAGTTAGACCAACAGAACCAGTTAGACCAACAGAACCAGTTAGACCAACAAATAGACCAACAGAACCAGTTAGACCAACAGAACCAGTTAGACCAACAGAACCAGTTAGACCAACACATAGACCAACAGAACCAGTTAGACCAACAGAACCAGTTAGACCAACAGAACCAGTTAGACCAACAGAACCAGTTAGACCAACATAACCAGTTAGTACCACAGAACCAGATAGTACAACAGAACCAGTTAGACCTACAGAACCAGTTAGACCAACAGAACCAGTTAGTACAACACAACCAGCTACGTCGACGACATCCATCCCACGAGAACCCACACGATGACGAGCCTAGACAACGAACTCCACATGAGAACCCAGGAATAAAATACCCCGGAATCATTTGTATAGGTGTACTAATGATACTTTTCATTGTGGTAAGTCATTGTTCTACCCCAGGGGTCTCCAAACTACGGCCCGCGGGCCGGATGCGGCCCGCGAGGTCCTCTCATCCGGCCCGCGGATATCTTTTTGTCCAAGGAAAAAACGTTAGTTGGTTATGGCTGAGGAACTTTGCCCAGAAAAATCAAAGACATGCCTGGAAGAAACTGGCCCCCGAACTGAAATTTGATAGTTAATGCGGCCCTCGGACTGAAAAGTTTGGAGACCCCTGCTACCCTATCATTAACCATCAGTATATCTTGAATATTCTATCAATCACAACAGCAGAATCTCCTGAATGTTTAAACATGTGAACAATACTCTCAAGAATTAAAATATAATTTTTGGAAATATGAACGATGTTGATGTTCATGAGTTATTATAATGTATTATTTTCATTTTCTTTCTGTAATCAACAGATATGGAAAAACAGCTCTGAAAAAAAGCAAACAGACTCCGTTTCTAGACATAAAGTAAGTAGATACTTGATTTTATATTCGTTATATTCACTTTGAGAGGTTTTATGTCGGTATGTATATCGAATGCAATACTGGTTCTACTTGCTGAAAAACTACGCTTGAAATCACAGCAACAAATATGTTTATATTAATTTTCAGGATGCAGAAACGACAATAGGAGACACAATCACGTAATAAATTTTGTTTGTGTTTGTTTTGTCTCAATATAATTAGAAATAAATGTACATATTAATAATTAATATAATTAGAATGCCAAGTTAATAACTGTTACATAAAAAGCACACATATAATACCAATGTTCAATCTTCACTTCATTGCGGAGCACACTGACAGACTAGATATTAATAGAATAAAGCTTGTTAGCATAGAATCAATCTCGAGGACTTACAATAAACATCACACACGTTAAGCAAACACAAATTTTAATCACTTTAACTGTTAATAAAGTATCTAAGTAAAATGCTAAAAAAATCTTTCATATATACCTATATACGTATTATATCAACATTTGAGTGATTTTACTTAACCGGGAGTCGTTTGAGGTTTCTCAAAAGCCGAAAATTGGAGTACTGTTTGAGTTAGGAGACTGAAATATCACTAGAAGTATTATAGTGATACGTTTCAATTTTGAACTAATTCCGGTAATCGGAAGTGGTACTTTACTATATTTCCATGGGTACACACTATCTTGTGCACTTTTTCGGATATTAGGACAAAATTTAAAATACTTTAGTGTTCACCAATCTCTGGATACAGTATTTTACTCCGTTTACCTTTTCTAAAATGCCGAGAACATTTTCGACTTTATAGTGAAGTAATACTTCACGCTATTTCCGATTTTTCATAAAACCATGAGCATTCGATAATTTGGTACCATACTATTTGAATCAACATATTATTAGAATTTTCGCCTGTAAATGTTTTCTCGAAAAACGAGCATTTTGGTCCAACAGTTCTATATTTCTACAGCTTGATTGCGCTGGAAGTGCCATCCAAGCGATTATTGTTGGATAATAATTTATAAAGTTTTGGGGAAAGGTCTACCGCTTTATATTTTGTTTAGTTCAATTTTTAAAATTGTTATAGCGCCATTAAAAAAGTTTTAATACATAATTTATATTTTAATTTTACATTTTACCTAAATAACTAAGAATTTCAAAATATATAATTAGTTTATTTATTTGTTGTTAATTACGCAGTGATTTCGACAAGGCACTTTACTTGCGTTCTCTTTCTGTTGAACACTCCTTGTTGAAGGTGGAAAAGAAACTGGAAGATGCAATGAAATGTAAGTAAAAGTGTGTGAAGCGTGATGACCAAAAACATGACAAATTTACCTATCCATACAGCAATAACGTTTACCTGAACCTTCAATTTTTTTTATATTTCTCTTACAGAAACATTCGTACAAACATCGACACTCAGTTACTAATTAAAACTTCTCTTAAATAACAAGAATACTCTAGACTAGCACCCTTCCTGTAAAACACAAAATAACAAATTGTTCCAGTTTCATATGTGGTTCTTTCATCTGATTCACTTAAATTTAGCAATTCTTGTGTATTGTATACAATTTCATTATATACTAATCAACAAATACCAGCTTAAAAAAATAATTCTATTAAAGTAAGTTTGTTTTATAGGTGTTTTTAAAATTAAAAACCACTTTAGAGTTGTATTCATTTTTATCATGAAGAGATTGTTTTTTCTGTTCAGCGAGTCAAAAGCTATTCCGCGGCGCATGTATTCAACACATTTGTGTACTGTAGTACGAGAAAGTGTTACATGTATATTATTCTTTGCAGACCTAAAACAAACAGGCAAAAGAGAAATACACATTAAAATTGAAACAGGATCTGGAAAAAGAGTTTACCCTGCCGTTCGCGAATATCTGGCCCGAAATAACTACAGGTAACATAATTAGAAAACGCTGCATATAACACTGTATGAATAAGCCAAATGTAATACAATTAGATCAGGCTACATCTTACACTGTATGAATACGCTATAAGTAACATAGATCAGGCTACATCTAACACTGTATGAATACGCTAAGTAACATAGAGCAAGCTACATCTAACCCCATATGAATACGCTAAATGTAACATAATTAAAACAATTTGTGTAAATATTGGTACAATAACAGGTAATATGATTAGAAAACTTATGAGATTAAATGGTACGATCAGAACAAAAAAAAAACATAATGCTATCAGTGCAACAATAGTTTCAAAATAAGTGAAATAAACTGTTTCAGGTAAAATATGTACCGGTAAATTATTTCCGTTTGTGAACATTCAACAGTTTAAATACGAGCGTATCAGTAATCGGGCAAATATTTTAAACATGAAAACGACATAAATTTTGTTCAAATCCTATGAGCTGTATAATGTTATACATCACGCAATTATTTTGTATTTTAATTTGTAAAAAAAAACTTTTTAAGTAGAAAATTGTGATGGTATTTGGAAGATGCCGTGCAAAATGTAATTAAAATGTTCGAATTTTCGTGTTGTATATTTGCACGACCCATTATCTTTTAACTTGCAATTAAAAACTTTGATGATTATAATAGGTGTGGGTTTATCAAAAACAATACCATGTTTTAAATTTTGTAGTCGGAAACTTCACCGTTTTTTAGAAGGCAAAAAATTATTATAGCATTATTTTTTTGTACTTGGTTTCAACAGATCTTACTGGAATCAGAACGAAGGCTACTTCACAGTTGAGGTAGTTAATGAATCTTACAATGATGAATTTTAAATTCATGTCTTGATTTAGGAACAAAAATTATGTCTCGTATATAGGGTATAACATATATTATCTTAACTTATATTTTATTATATTCATTACGTTTTTTCAATCTATATAATATAATGAAAGTACATTTTAATAAATTTAACGCAATTAAAATGTACATGCATGTTGTCAGCATATAAATGTTGCATAACAATTACATTTTTCATTATATTAATTTTACGAAATGAAACTTACTACCAAATTAATTTAAAAAACCTTTTCTGGCAAAACCTTTAAATAGTTAATAATTTACTACAAACGATGTCAATTGTCTAGATATCAATTCTTATTTTTTGGTGTAGTTTATGTTTTGTAAAGTTTATACAGAATATAGTTAAAATCTATATGATGTAACCATTTAAATATAGCATTAAATATAGAAGCTGTGTTTGAAATAAAAATAATCTAATATACCTATTGTTTCTGACTTCGCCTTATTTTTATTTTTCTACATTCAAGAATTTCAGCGTTTTCGAGTATGCCATATATGTAAATGAAGAACAAAATAATACATTGTTTTGCAGTTATCAGGCTATTTCTTCAATACGATCATATGATTCAACATCCATCATGTATACATGTAATTGCTATATCCTTTACCTACTTAATTTCACTTACATTCTTTTTATACAAATCCTACTCAGCACTTATTTTATTACCTGCACCTCAGTCTCTTTTCACGTGTCTCATATTCGTTTGTATTTGTCCAGATAAAAAGAAATTGCTCTATTTGAAAAAGATTACGTGTAGTTTACAAACTTTGATCACAAAATCCAAAAACTGATGGCCGTATATCGAAACCTAAAAACAGCTTACTTAAACAATTGGTCCCTTTAAGACTCAACTGAGCATTGTGAATACAAGGAGTGGTACATGGTAAGGGCTGCTACAGCTACAGGTTGATTACGGCCCTTAACAACACAATTCATTGACCACGATTGTTGCCATGGATTGATTCACGAATAGAATGTTTGGTGCTATATCAGAATCTGTTTTATTTAATCAGCGTTTCAATCATGTAAAATCGTTGTAACGCATTGTATTTTTGTACTGAAGGGAAGCAACTGCAACATTAAACTAACAATCTTTCTACAAAAAATGATTGTCTCCCTTAAAACCTGGTTTAAATGGCAGTAGAAAGCACTAAACTTGCGGTCGTTAGAGCTGAGTTCGTTTTTTCACCACGTCATTTGCAGAAATCGTTTACATTCATAGCAACATATTTTTTACCCACTATTTGAGTTAGACTTCCTATTTTTATTTAATATTTTTGGTATAACTATCAATATAAGTTGTATGTCTCCTACAACAGCGCAAATTAAAATAAAGCAAAATTCACAAACAGAAAACTTTTCACCACCGATATGTATCTTTGTAATTCTGATAGTTTAATTAACAATAATTAGTATATCATCACATTTTGTAATTTCACATACACAAATCGTACACTAAAGATTAAAAACTTGATAATCAATGCACGTTTCAAAGATCCTTCTTTATTCTTTTATTTCCTTCAATGGATACAACTACACTGCCCTCTTTCATGTTCCATTTCACTCTGCAAGTAGACATTCACATTACTTATAATTATACGCATCCTTATGTACATACACATTTACATTTATGAAATCGAAACACTTATGTTATTTGAACAGAAGGAATTCAATAGAAAAAGAAAATTAAAAAATATTAAGTCAACAAATAAAAAACGCTTGTCAGGTTTGATATTCAAATTGGTATTAAAATTGTTTTTCAAACTGGGCTCAAGAAGGAATGCATCCTATCATCATCGTATAATCATGTAAAATGGCTCCACCTTAAAATATCCCTAGAAAATATATATATCAAACATAGGTGAGCATATTTGTTTTTACAAGTCATTTGGGGGTTAGCTTAGAATAGTCTAGAACTCAGGGGATGTGCTTATATGAGATAAACCAGGGTATTTATGTGTTGTTATGCCAAGATAAAATGTGGGCATAAAAGACAACATAAGAGGTAGGATTGTTGACGGCAGGGAGGTGGGTATAACTAGTAGAAAAACGTGGACGAAAAGAACAAACAAAACATTGTCTAGTCTGTGTTGGAGATATTTAATTAGACGTTAACAACTATTGCAAAGCAAATAAATTGATCAACTTACCTATAACCTTTTTTGTCCAGTTGTTCATAAACTGCAGGTTGAATCTTCTTGCCAGTTCCTGTGATAAACGTCACATGCACTGGACCTGACTGCCCACTCACTGAAATATTAACGTGTGTACGAACGCACATTTGTGTCTTCTAGGCATTGACAACATAATGAAGTAAAACCTTAACAAAACTCATTGACAACATAATGAAGTAAAACCTTAACAAAACTCATTGACAACATAATGAAGTAAAACCTTAACAAAACTCATTGACAACATAATGAAGTAAAACCTTAACAAAACTCATTGACAACATAATGAAGTAAAACCTTAACAAAACTCATTGACAACATAATGAAGTAAAACCTTAACAAAACTCATTGACAACATAATGAAGTAAAACCTTAACAAAACTCACTGACAACATAATGAAGTAAAACCTTAACAAAACTCATTGACAACATAATGAAGTAAAACCTTAACAAAACTCATTGACAACATAATGAAGTAAAACCTTAACAAAAATCAATGAAAACAGACACAAGTATTATCTTAACAAAACTAATTGACAGCAGACTCAAGTAAAACCTTAACAAAATTCAATGACAACAGACTAATGCATGAATTGGATTCTGAAGAAGCTAAACTCTACTCACGTGTCTCAAAGGCCTGCAATGTTTGTCTAACTCTAGTCAAGGCTTGTTCAACTGACATCGATCTCAGATCAAATGTGGTGTCCACCTTCTAGTTACCGACATAGCAGAAATCATACATATATATATATATATATAAATACAAAACAATAATTCCAAACTACTGCGTATATTTGTATTAATTCATAACTGTGTGTTAAACAATGAAGAAATGTATTTTATTTGACTACAAGCTACTCTTTTATTAAGTTAACAAAGAAAACATTCACTGTAACAAACTTACTTTGGCTTGTCCAGCCTGTCTATTAAAGTAAACTACTAACATCTTTAAAAGGGGAAAAATATATAAATTTATAAAAATTACCAAATAAATCGAAGCAAAGTTAACGTTAGTTTGGTAAGGTTTTACATATCTAGTCTCTGAAATTTGTCTAAAACTCTAGTGTGTGACGTCAATAGAACACAAACTGGTGTACATCATTTGACAAAAAAAAAGAGCAGCCTACATCATTAGACCACAAACTAGTGCACATCTTTAGACCTCAAGTCAGTAACTATCATTAGACCACAAACTGTTATACATCATTAAACCACAAACTGGTATACATCATTAGACCACAAACTGTTATACATCATTAGACCACAAATTGGTATACGTCATTAGACCACAAACTGGTGTATCCTACATCATTAGACCACAAACTGTTATACATCATTAGACCACAAACTGTTATACATCATTAGACCACAAACTGGTGGACATCATTAGACCACAAACTGGTGGACATCATTAGACCACAAACTGGTGTATCCTACATCATTAGACCGCAAACTGTTATACATCATTAGACCACAAACTGGTGTACATCATTAGACCACAAACTGGTGTATCCTACATCATTAGACCACAAACTGTTATACATCATAAGACCACAAACTGTTATACATCATTAGACCACAAACTGTTATACATCATTAGACCACAAACTGTTATACATCATTAGACCACAAACTGTTATACATAATTAGACCACAAATTGGTGTACATCATTAGACCACAAACTGTTATACATAATTAGACTACAAATTGGTGTACATCATTAGACCACAAATTGTTGCAGCCTGTAGCGTTATTTATCATTATTGATCACCGGCCAATAATGTATCCAGTTTTAATCAATCATTAACAGTTACTCTTTCTATTATGAACACAAACTGTTATACATCATTAGACCACAAACTGTTATACATCATTAGACCACAAACCGGTATACATCATTAGAACACAAACTGTTATACATCATTAGACCACAAACTGGTATACATCATTAGACCACAAACTGTTATACATCATTAGACCACAAACTGTTATACATAATTAGACCACAAATTGGTGTACATCATTAGACCACAAATTGGTGCAGCCTGTAGCATTATTGATCATTATTGATCACCGGCCAATAATTTATCCAGGTTTAATCAATCATTAACAGTTACTCTTTCTATTATGAGTTTTATCCCTTTCAATTGACGCTTCCTACCATCATACTCATTAGCATAACACGGTCGTACTACGTACACTTATCAATTACTCAGAGCTAGCCATAACAATTCACTAAACGACAGCCGGCGACAGCCTCTAGTCAAACCATGAGTCACTAGCAATGTTGCCGATAGTTTGTAACTTCAGGCATAAGAGGAAAATCTACCGTTTATGTTGTAGCTTCTACATTTAATAGTGTAAATTAATAAAACCAGAAGTTGTATAATGTGTACAATAGATGTATAGTTGATTTGAAACGTTCCCCTACGTAGGTCACAGTTATACATTTATAAATTATATTTAGTACTTGCGAAAAAATAATATTTTCTCTTATACGTAGTACAGAGAAAGTATTGTAATAGTGCAAAAAAATCGAAATTCTTGCAAATCTCGACGTTTTACACCTCGCCGAGTCGGAAAAACAGTTTTGCAATCTTGTCCGTAACTTGAGAACCGTTACAGCCAGGTTGAGGAAATTTCCTATATAAGTATTATATCACATTTGTAGTTCTCTATCAACTTTTCACCGATTTCCGTTAAACCGGAAGTTTAGCTTATTCTGCGTTCAACTTTTCATAAGCCTATAGCTTGAGTACTGTTTCAACTACGTTTATGAAATTTCACATGTAAGCAAAATATCTAATTGTCTGCCTTCTGTCAAACTTTGAGTTATTTCCGTTGAACGAAAGTACTAATTTACGTTATTTCCGATTTCTCAAAAAACGCATGTAAATTTATAAAGTGTACTGTAAAGCCTTGTGCCCATAGATCTGTAAAGTATTTGTAATCCTGGCCGTGTTAATAAAGACGGTACGCGTTATATAGCCACAGGATCTCATGCACCGGTTTATTGATATTTTCTAATCTGCTGGTTAGACGGGGTGCTATTTAATTTTTAAGATCAAGTAAACAGAATAGTGTGTCACCAAATTTCCCCAAATGGATTTCCCAATAATGTTTTATGAATTCTAAACAATAATTTATTATTTGCATAGTATAAATCAACACTTTCACTGTCGTGGTTTTAGTTTTAAAATGTCACGTCCTCTGTGACATCAAAATGACGTGACACTTTTTAAATAATTTGTTGTAACTCTATTGTTTATAATCTGCTTTAAATATATTATAAACTATGTGATTGTGTGGTGGATAGTAATTACTAACTCGAAAGTTTCAAGTTGCTATCACGGTCTCTGTGAGTACTCTCAGCTCAAATAATTAACGGACCAAACTATACTTTTATCAGCCCAGGTCTCTTTTACAGTTCAAACATATTTCATCTGCACCATTGATGGCAAGGAATAAACGGTTAACTTAAATAGTTCTCTAGCCCAAGGGATAACACAAGACATAAATATGTAAACATACAAAACTCGTAGGTATTGTGTCCTTCCAAATTTGATTTGATCTAATAGTTGTGTTCTTTCATTAATAAATCTTAAATACCCCTTTAAAACAACAACGAAATACACCAGTTTACAAGCATTTACATGAGATATTTCAACACATAATAGAAAATCAAAACTGTATTGTAAGCTTTTATTATAATATAAGGAATTTTATATGTTGAACAGCACCTTACAAATTAAGCGGACCCAATAATGTATTCAAAGCATTTAAAGCGTAATTCCTAAAGAATGCCCCAACATTTACCGTTAGTTATTAAAGAAAAAAAAATGACACGATACTATACTCTTCCTGAACAAAAGCCCACATACGTGTTTTAGAAATTCCATGGCTTAGTTTCGTTTTCAACGACCTTACATTTTTCATTTGTTAGTACGCTTAGCATTGTGTTAATGATAAGTTTGCTTTGGAACAAGTGATACACTGAATTAGCCAATCATTGTTTTGTGCATACCAGTTGTAGACGTGTATACTTAAAGTATATATTTAAAACTTTTGAATTTATTGATCAGTAATTTCGAGAAAAAAGTTATTCGTCTGTAATTTCAAAATATGTTGTTTTTTTCTTAATATATCAACGTCTAAAAGTTCCCCCCACACTTTATAAGTTTATAAGAATTATCTCCACTCTTCACTTAAAACACTGACTAAACTCCATGTATAGTGCACTGATACTAGTGTAAACTCCATATTAAGTGCAATGATACCAGTGTAAACTCCATGTATAGTGCACTGATACTAGTGTAAATTCCATATTAAGTGCAATGATACCAGTGTAAACTCCATGTAAAGTGCACTGATACTAGTGTAAACTCCATATTGAGTGCAATGATACTAGTGTAAACTCCATGTAGAGTGCAAAGATACTAATGTAAACTCCATCTAGAGTGCAATAATACTCGTGTAAACTCCATATTGAATGCAATGATACCAGTGTAAACTCCATGTATAGGGCACTGATACTAGTGTAAACTCCATGTAGAGTGCAATGATATTAGTGTAAAATATACCTAGAGTGCATTGATACTAGTGTAAACTCCATATTGAGTGCAATGTTACTAGTGTAAACTCCATGTATAGTGCACTGATACTAGTGTAAAATACACCTAGAGTGCTATGATACCAGAGTAAACTCCATGTAGAGTGCAATGATACTAGTAGGCTCTACCTTAGATTTTGTACGCTAGTAAATTCTGTGTGTGCGTTTGTGGTATATATATTCTTTAATTTTAAAGTACACGCTTTATTTCGTAAGTTGTAGCTATGTATTGTAAAGTGATTGAAAATATCTATTAAAAGAACATACGTTTTGTAATTAATTAGGATATAACTTAAAAGGACAGATTTGGAAAAATGTACGGTCCTTTATGTTTAAAAAAGCTTAAATAAAGAAAAAATTAAAACATCTCACTTCAATCTCAAAAGCTCCAGTGTGGATAACGAATTTTACAACACGATTTTTTAACTCATTATTAACTTACGTTATACACAATAAAACATATATATATATAAAGTAATGTACAGTTACTGAATGTAAATTTATGTTAGAGAAATGATGAAGACAGGTATCCCTTCTAAAACAGCAAGAATATTAGTCATAAAATATAATTAATACAAGGCAAAAAAAATATGCTATCAAAACTAAACTACTTGCTTCAAAAATGATAAAGTGGGATGTGTAAATATACATCTATTCTAAAAAAACAATATTGTTAGGATTATAATGAGCAAGAGCAGAAGACTTGGCACCATCTGTGACCCTGAGTCTAAAAATACATTCGGGTTATTAGGGTCACAGTGATACGAGTCAAACTGTGGTTGGGAACACAAAGCTGGCCACAATGGACCCTTGATAGTTTCCTCCATAACCTGATAGGTGGCACAGCCGCACAGCCCTAGTGTTGGTCTCATGCACGAGTACGTTGCTTCATATTTCTTGCACATTATTTTTCCATAGTCCGACCCAGAAGATTTAGCTATCTCTTCTACCTTAGGCTGTACGCATGACGAGATTTTCGATGATTGGCTGTTGGTGCATGTTTGATTAAACAGGGTAAAATTCCTGCAAGTGATGGTAACCAATTCTTTTGTCTTGTTTGGAGAAGGGAGGTAACCGGCTAAATTAGGTATAGAAGCATTAGTACAATCTATTGCGTACTGTAGAAAACAGCTGAGTGCTTTAGCAGCGTCGTCGGGTTGTCGACACAGTTGTTCGTTGACGTAAGACAATGACGTGGCAGAATCAACCTCCATGTTCGCCGGGAAGGTTAGGCGGTTGTCTGTGAAACATCGAGCAACTTGTTCCTGTGGGTTAGTGCAGTTGGCGCAGTCACAAACATGTATGAAACCTGTTGAAGTAACAGCAATTGATTTGAAGTGTACATTAAATATCGCTTCTCTGTTTAGTTATAGTCAGTAATGAAAAATTAGTAAAATTAATGCAATGCCCTACTTTCAGCTGTAAATTTTAGTAATATATTAAAACACGTCGTCACCAATTTAACTCGTTACTATAAAGTGATTGTCCTTTATTTTACAGAGAGAGCAATAAGGCCTATTCATCGTATAAAAAGATTGGCGTGGTATAACTAGTAGATGATTAAGTATATATATATATATATATATGTATATATATATGTATATATATATATATATATATATATATATATATATATATATATATATATATATATATATTATACTAGCGTAGCCGTGCGTTGCCGCGGGAATAGAAGAAAGTCCGACGAAATATATAAAAAGCGTTACCAATCATAATTTCTTAGACTCGTGACCTTGTTTTCTAAAAGTGAATATATATATATATATATATATATATATATATATATATATATATATATATATATATATATATATATATATATATATATAATACTAGCGCACCCGTCCCCGCGCGTTGCCGCGGGAATAGAAGAAAGTCCGACGAAATATATAAGAAGAGTTACTGTGATGACGCAAGGTTGCGTCGGAGAGCTCAGGTAGATAGCAGAAACAGGCTATAGCGAGTTGGTCAGAGAGAGACCAATAAAAATACAGGAACTGACCGGTCACGTGGGACGGTCAGCTGACCGCTGAGGCGTGGGGCAGTAGAGAGATAGGCCAGCAGTTGATAGGTAGCTAGCGAAGAGTGCAGAAGGTGTTAGGTTGTAGAATGGAGCAGACGTAGTTATGTAGAGAACAGAAAATTAGTGTTAGGATTGGTCATGGGAGTGCGTAGTTAGTAGTATAGTGAACAGTTAGTAGTAGTAGTAAACAGTAGAGAGTATAGAATAGGCTAGTTAGGTAGAAACTTGATTATATACATTTGAATAAAGAACTTTGTATTTGGAACTTGAAAGGTGTGTTAATTGGATTTGTGACGCCCTCTTAAAAATCCCCACCCTCACAACTGGTGCAACAAGAAGAACTTCTAACCAAGATTATTTCGTACCATCACAGTTACCAATCATATATTCTTAGACTCGTGACCTTGTTTTTTAAAGTGATTATCTAAATGTAAACAATGTACATTAATCACTCACCGAAATAATGAGGTAGATTACGTCAGGGACGTAGAAGGGCGCTCTCAGGAGCTCCCCCCCCCCCCGATTACACTACCGCATAGGCGCCGCGTACGGCCCCTGGCTCCTTAAAACTAACAGACGCCATCGTCCCAAATAGCATGCAGATTGCGTCATTCACTAAAGTGACACAAATGAACAGGATTTTTTCTTTGACACGTAAAAAAATATTTGACGTGTTTTAAACATCAGTGTGACTGATGCAATATGTCAGCGTTACTAATGGTCTATTATTAGATGCTCGATATCGATTTCTGATTGAATTGTCTAAAATCAGATGCTGATTGCATCATTCGCAAAGTGACGAAACTGTTTGGATTTTTTTTTTACGAAAAAAAAAGAAACATCCGAGTTAATAATCTAACCTTGGTTAATTTTTCTGATTATTAAAATAAAACGTATTACATGGCCCTTAGGCGGCCTATGTGAGCCTCTGGGGGCCGAAACTGAAATTTTTGTTTGCAGCGAAATCGCACCTTACCAGGGCGCCGGCGGACACGCCTGATTTAATATAGTGAACGTTTTTAACGCCCCATCCTATCCTTTTGTCTATCACACTGTTTAGACCAAACGTAGTCGTCATATCGTTCACGAGAAAGACCAGAGCGCCAAATCGCGTCCAGCCGGAGGGCTGCCCATTCAAAATTAAATCCCCCCTCCCTCTCCCACCACCACACACCCACCCCGCCATTCCCCCACCTCCCCCATTCTCCTTCCCCCCCTTCACAGAAGCCTTCTCGGGAGTATTCATCAACTCCCTTAAGTTTTATGGCACCCGGATAAACAGTGTCGAACCGCAATCGTCTTTTATTTTCATATACCTTATATAGCGAGAAATAAAATCGCGCCCTGCCGTGGCGCCACCCCTGCAAATTTGAAAATGTTTTTCGCGCAGATATCTCTCCCCAGGATAATTCTCAATATCTTCACTAAGTTTCATGGCGATCGTGTGAACGGTGTCACTGCAATTCACTTTCTTTCATTATTTTTATATACCGTACATAGAGAAAAATCGCACCCTCCCGTGGCGCCGCCCTTGCAAAAATAAAAATGACTTTTTTTTTACAACCCTTCCCCAGAGTGTTCGATTCAACTCCCCCAAATTCTCATGGGCGCTATCGGATGAACGGTGTCAAACCAAAATCGACTATTATTTTTAGATACCGTATATAGAGAAAAATCGCACCCTCCTGTGGCGCCGCCCTTGCAAAATTAAAAATGATTTTTTACAGAACCCTTCCCTGGAGCTTTATATTGAACTCGCCGAAGTTTCATGCCTATCGGATGAACGGTGTCAAGTCAAAATCGATTTGTATTTGTATATACCGTATATTGAGAAAAAACAAATCGCGCCCTGCCGGGGGGCCACCCCTTCGAATTTGAATTTTTTATTTCGCAGAAACCTCCCAGGAATATTCTCAACAACTACGCAAAGTTTCACAACGACGTGATGAGAGGTGTAGTTATGCATAAAAGACAGACAGGCACACATACAGACATACATTGCTTTTTATATATATAGATAAATAAATAAATAAATAAATATATATATATATACATATATATATATATATATATATATATACATTTCTTTTAAAATAACTTCATCCTGATTAACTATTACTCTTTATTAAAGATTAATTTTTTGTTACAATTGATTAAAACATGAAGTATTTACTATCTATAGCGGCCATAAATGCAACATTGACAATTTTCTTTTTCCTGTAACATTGTGTGTAGAAAACTACTTAAACATTGAATCAACTCACCAGCAAGTAGAATAAATATAACAGCTAGAGACACCACAGACACACAACCAGAAGCCATTTTGTTATACTTTTGTTAGGTTGGCTGTTGCAGCAAAACTAGTTGACTCATACAACAGATGTAGCTTTAACTACCTGACGCACACAACATGACCAATCTGCATGATCTCCGTAACAAATATAAAAGCCTGCCACTCAGAGTTCTTCGTCATACAAGCTGAGTTATTGATCCAGTTCTCAAATTAAAATAACGAATGTATATTAGTTTTCTGTTTTTAACATATAAAAGGCAGATCGTATAATTTATTTTCACTACATTAGTGCCGGGTGTTTGTTAATTGTTTATTTCCCAAACTCTAAACGTTATAAGACCAGGTAAAATATATACAAAACATAATGCAATTGGTTTTATTAAGAGGTATGCGCATGATTTGGCCCAGTCTATGTCTTCAGCCACACGATGTTATCAATACAAATCAATAATTTGTGCTAGACAGGCGTATCGGAGGCTGAGCGCGTAGTCATGGTGTTATTGTCTTAGCTTTTCTAATTAAAAATGTCGAGTATTTGAACAGTTCAGTACACTGTATCGAGTCGGTTGGCGCAGGTTGCACTTAGTGTGATGGAATTTCTGCGTTTGTAAATATAAACCATCAAAATATCTAACTAATTAAAAAAAACTAGAAATTAGAAAATTTAGATGATAAAGGACAGGACATAATTTTGTATTTGAATATTAATTTTTATAATGTATATGTTTTTTTGCACCTGCGACTTTGAAAGAATAAAAATTCAAATGATTGGCGTGGTCGAGTCGGTAAAGCTCATGGATGTTTAACCGAAAAGTTACGAGTTCGAACCCTTTGGCAGAGTTCTAGGAGAGACAACGCCAAAATTAAACGACTACTGCCTTGTGGTTTGTTTTTGGTTGAACAAAAGGAAGCAAATCCTAAACGAAAAGCAGGCTGTCATTGGAGTCAATGGCCTCAATGGCGCATAACATGTTGACACATATACTTAATTTTGCTGGAGGGGATTTATCTCAACACTAAAAGTAAGTACTTGCTGGCCCCTTACAGAAATCTAAATCTAGTCCATTACACCAAAGTGAGGCAGATTTTTATGTTGTTCATCAAAACGTTGTCAATCATGTTTTTAAAGGTGTGCTTTGTTTTCCAGAAATGTATTTAAATGTGAAACATTTCAGCACTTCATTGTTTTTTAAATAATAGCTGTTGGGACGCAAGTTTGTCCTCATTGGGAATCATAAATAAGATATTTTACTTTAAATGCGATATATTTCTCTAATTGATCAACAACATACAAAAATAACCTTCTTCTTCATAAGCCACACACACCACACTAAAAATTCAGCATCTGCGAAAAAAAATTTATACAAGTCAAAAAAATTATTTACCAGTCAGTAGAAATAAAGTTGATAAAAGAAAAGCTTGAGATACACCAGCAATCTCCATGTTTTTCTCAGCCTTCCCGCTTGGTAACGTTGCAGCTCGACTGAACGACCTACAGAGTATTTGAATCAGTTGCCTGACCTCTAAAATATTAAGAGCCTGGCACTCCTGCTGCTTAGTGGCACGAGACGGCGAACTGCATCATGGTCGGAAGTAACGTGTTTCAAAAATATTACTTTTTTCATTTGCGTTATTGTTAATATTGTTAGTATTTATTTTAAATTAAAATATTGAATAGGCTTTTTAAAAATGTTACAGACCATTGCAGATTTTCAACGTGAAAGTATTTTTTTTCAAAAAACAATTACCCCTCACTAAAGTATCTAGTTCAAGGCTCCTGCGCAGACTTTTGCGCAGCTCAATTCTGCTGCGCCACGGACGCACCTAACACATTCACAATAGCATCCTTACAATTTTAACTGCTTGAGTTATTATTAAATATCTCAAGGTACCCTGTTATGTCGTCTTACGTTTAAAAGGTGCAGTGAACTATGCATGGCCGACACATTCGAGACCCAAAGACCTCAAGCTACATTACTTGGCAGCATCAAAACGTAATATTTGAGTCTTGCTATCTGGTGCATGTAATTCGGCTTTCATATCTATTAAGTATGAACATGGAAGGGTTAGTGTGTGTATGGGTGTGAAAGAGAGGGATAGAGAGAGAGAGAGAGATGTGAATGTTTGAAGTGTGTTAAATATCAACCTATTAATAGGCTTTATATAATCCACACTTTTTAAGCACGTTCTCCCTCTTCGTTTCAAATTATTTATACTAATTCTCTTTTAATTAGCTCGACTAGATTGCGCCTATTAACACAAGTAGCTAATGTATAGGTTGTTTTATAGGTTGCTTGCTATATTTTTCAGTGTCACGTAAAATGGTAGTTCAACGTGTTTACTTCTGACTGACATTGTAATGTGATAACAATTACTAATTTTGAACTGTGTTTGAGTGGCTGGGGTGTTTGTATATTTGCTCTTGTTGTTGTTGGTGTTGTTAATGGCGCTGGTGCTGGTTGCTATGATGCATGTTCTGCTAGTATAGATTGGTGCGAGTGAATTTTGGTGAGGACGATTGTTAAACGAATTTAGATATGACGCGGATAAAAAGAGAGTAACGTATAAGGAAGTAAGAACGTTGTTGCTATGCAATGTAAGCTAGTCAGTTAGGGGCTAGGTGTCGGATCATGGAGTTCGGGTAATACTGTTGATGTGTGAGGAAATATGTGTCTTGTCAAACACTATTTGACACCTCTCCATCGTACTTTTTTCTAGGCGATTCATCCAAGCTGGGCCCACAACTTCCCGGTCGCCTCTTCTCAATTGAAAGCATACGTTTTCAAAGTTTGTTTTGGCATACCTACTTTTCTTAAGGATTCCAATGTAATGCATGTCAGTTGATGCTGCTAGTTAACATTCAAACAGAGTATCTTCCAGGCATCTGGGGCAGAGCCCTCCCCCCCCCCCCCCCCGAAGAAAGTCTACCGCCCCCCCCCCCCCCGAACGAGATAGAATTTATATAGTAAACATACACTTTTATTAGTGTCCCCCCCCCCCCCCAAATGTTGACCGCCCCCCCCCCCGAAAATCTCAAGTGACCCCCGGAGAAAAAAGTCTGGAAGAAACACTGCATTCAAATCATCTCAATTACTAAAACTACACCTACACGTATGTATTTTGCATAATTTTATAATTGTATTTATTATAATTAATTATAATTATATTTACTGATCACCAGCAGACTAGCTTTGTTTTTTACAAATTTTATTGGCAAAATTTAAAAATAAAAATTATTTAAACTATTTAAAACATTAAAAATGCGTAACTGACTGAAATTTCAGCCATTAAATAATAAAAAATTGACATAAAGGTAGCGTTTTGTGTTACACGGTTCAGTCGCGATGCAGTTAAAAAAGATAAATACTGAACTTACGATGTTTAAAAACGAATGACTCAGATAACATTGATTCTAACCCAGTAGCACTGTAATGGTTATAAGAAAAAAGCGAATGACATGTGGCATCATCTGTGACCCGGAGTCTCCACAGTCTAAAAATAGATTCGGGTTATCTGGGTCACACTGATAAGTGGAATTTGCGGTCGTGAACAGAGTCTGTTGATAGAGTCTGATTAAGTTCGACTTTGACATCCAGTTTATGTGGATGTCAGAGTCAATGGCAGTTGTAAGCAGCCGATACAGTATTAAACACGTATGATACCTGTTGATATAGCAATAATTCGGGTCTATTATTTTTATCTTTATTTTAGCCGAGTCCCTAAAAGTTATTTGTTCTGTTTTTTCTTTAATTAAACTAAAATACGTATGTGGTTTAAAAAAATGTAGTTTTCGTTATTCTAGTTCAAATTCATAAAAAAGTTGTCTGACTTAATAACACCAGGTATGTAAGCAAACTTTAGATACACGAGCTGTCATTGTATATCGTTTGCATTTTATGATTTTACTCTTCTCAAATTGATGATTCTAGCACATTAAAGTTTAAACAGGATCTGGAAAAAGTGTACCCTGCCGTTCGCGAATACTTGGCACTAAAATCGTTTCAGGTAACATAATTAGAACATGCTACATCTAACACTGTATAAAAAAGCTAAATGTAACATACATCAGGCTATATCTAACACTGTATGTGTAAGTTAAAGCAGTGGCGTAGCGAGGTCGGGTGTCACCCGGTGCGGCACTTAATGGTGTCACCCCCCCGGAGGCATAGAGACCCTTCCCAGGGACAAACTTTCAAACTTTCGATTTGCACCCCCCCCCCCTCGAGTTTTCGATTTGCACCCCCCCCCCCTCGAGTTTTCGATTTGCACCCCCCCCCCCTCAAACTTTCGATTTGCACCCCCCCCCTCGAGGTTTTTTCTATATATTTTGCTATTTTTTGCCTTGGTGTCACCCCCCTAAATGGTGTCACCCGGTGCGGTCCGCACCCCCCGCCCCCCCTCGCTACGCCCCTGAGTTAAAGGTAACATAATTAGAACAAGCTATATCTAGCACTGTATGAATTCGCCAAATGTAATATAACAAAACCAATAATTGAAAAAAATATTGGTACAATAGCAGGTAACATTGTTGGAAACCTTGAGAGATAAAAATATAGTACGATCAGTACCAGAAAACATATATTGCTGTTAAAACAACAACAATAGTGGCACAAAAAAATCAGGTAAGCTGTTTTAGGTAAAACATACAACAGTAAATTATTTCCTTTTGGAACATTAAACAATGTAAATTCAGATTTGATAAAAGTCTATTGGTATTCGGGCAATTATTGTAAATCACGAAAAAGACTTACATTTTGTTCGAATCATGTGATCTGTATAATTATAGTTTTATTTTATATCACGCTATAATTTTATATTTAAATAATAATTGCAAATTACATTCTTTTATTAGGATCAAATAATGTTATTTGGAAGAAGCCGTGTATAATGTAGCTGCATAATATTCTCTTATTTTCGTGTGAAATATTTGCACGACACATCAGCGTTTAACATGCAATTTTTTAGTAGCGAATAGTGATGGTAATTGGAAGAAGTCGGGTAAAATGTAGCTAAAAATGCAACGGCAATATGATGTTTATAGCCCTTAAAAACACAATTCATTGACCAAGATTGTTGCCTTGGATTGATTCACGAATAGAATGTTTGGTGCTATATCAGAATCTGTTTAATTTAATCCTCGTTTCGATAATGTAAAATTGTTGTAAAATTAAAACAACGCCATCTATTTTTTTTTTGCTGAAGGGAAGCAATTGCAAATTTTAACTAATAATCTATCTACATAAAATTATTGTCTCCCTTAAAACCTGGTTTAAATGGCAGTAGAAAGCACTACACTTGGCGGTCGTAAGAGCTGAGTTTCTTTATTCCAGCACATCATTAGCAGGAATCTTTTACATTAACAGCAACATATTTTTTAACCCACTATTCAAGCTCGACTTTCAATTTTTACTTAATATTCTTGGTAAAAATATCAATATAAGTCCTATGTCTCAAACAACAGCTCAAATGAAAAAAGAAATTCACAAACAGAAAATGTTTCATTCACTGCTTGTATCTTTATAATTATGATGGTTTAATTAACAATAATTAGTATATCATCACATTTTGTAATTTCACATACACAAATCGTACACTGAAGATTAAAAACTTGATAAACAATGCACGTTTCAGAGATCCTTCTTTATTCTTTTATTCCCTTCTATAGATACAACTACACTGCCTTCTTTCATGTTCCATTTCACTCTGCAAGTAGACATTCACATTACTTATAATTATACGCACGCTTAGGTACATCCACATTTACATTTACAAAATCGAAACACTTGTTATTTGAACAGAAGGAATTCAATAGAAAAAAAAAACTAAATTGAAATAAACAAATAAAAAATGCTCGTCAGGTTTGATGTTTAAAGTAGTTGTTTTATACAATTTCGATCCAAATCGGTATTAAAATTATTTTCCAAACTAGACTCAAGAACAAATGCATTTTATCATCATAGTATAATCATGTAAAATGACTCCCCTCAAACATATGTGAGCATTTTTATTTTTATAATACTTTGTTGTTGTTATAGGTCTTTGGAGGTTAGGCTAGAATAGTCTAGAGTCTAGAACTCAGGGGATTTGCGTGTGTGAGTTAACCTAGGGTATTTATGTGTTGTTTTGCCAAGATAAAATGTGGGCATAAAAGACAACATGAGTGGTAGGATTGTTGACGGAAGGGAAGTGGGCACAACTAGTAGAAAAAACGTAGAGCAAAATGTGTTGCAGTTGTATAATTAGGGGTTAACAACAGGTCACCACTATTGTAGAACAAATAAATACTTATGTTGATCAACTTACCTATAACCTTTTTTGTCCAGTTGTTCATAAACTGAAGGTTGAATCTTCTTGCCAGTTCCTGTGATAAACGTCACATCCACTGGACCTGACTGCCCACTCACTGAAATATTAACGTGTGTACGAGTGCACATTCGTGTCTTCAAGGCAATGAAAACAACACAAGTAAAACCTTAACAAACTCAATGACAACAACACAAGTAAAACCTTAACAAACTCAATGACAACGACACAAGTAAAACCTTAACAAACTCAATGACAACGACACAAGTAAAACCTTAACAAACTCAATGACAACAACACAAGTAAAACCTTAACAAACTCAATGACAACGACACAAGTAAAACCTTAACAAACTCAATGACAACGACACAAGTAAAAC